ATACATTAGAATATTCTAATAAACTTCATCTAAAAAATATAAATAAATTTAAATATGGAAGTAATTATAGGAAGTGATCATGCTGGTTTTCCATTAAAAGAAATTGTAAAAAAATATTTAATTGAAAAAGGAATTAAAGTAGATGATATGGGTACTTATTCTACTGAAAGATGTGATTATCCTGATTTTGCTGAAAAAGTAGCACGCGAAGTTCTTAAAACTGGTAAAAAAGGTATTTTGGTATGTGGAAGTGGAATTGGAATTTCTATAGCTGCAAATAAAATTAATGGTATCAGATGTGCTCTTTGTCATGACCACTATACTGCTGTAATGTGTAGAAGACATAATGACGCTAATATTATTGCTTTTGGTGCTAGAGTTATTGGATCTGATATTGCTACTGACATGGTTGATGCTTTCTTATCTACTCCTTTTGATGGAATGCAACACACTGCTCGTGTTGAAAAAATTCACAAATTAGAACAAAATCATTAAATTGATTGATTTCTTTCATTAATTATTTTTTGTATTTTCTTTTATATTTTTATTCCTTTTAATTGATTTGTTTTTTAAATATAAATTGATATAATAATTATTGAAGAAAATGGATATAATTCTTTTATTATTATTTATAATATATAATCATTAATACATAATTTATTTATTATATTCTATTTGTTATACTTCTTTTCTTATTTTGAATTTGTTCTTCTATTATTTTAATTGCTTGAATCATAGTATTATATTTAATAATAATTATTCATTTTTTAAACTAAAATAAATTGTTTTACTACTCACTTTACTTTTAAAGTATTTGTAATATATTGTTACTATTAAAATTATCATAATGAAAATAAGGTTAAATGGATTAATACGTTTATTATTTCTTTTTTTATAGAGTACTTAGAATCTAAGTTAAATTAATAATATTAGAATCATTCAATTCTTTTTTCTTTCTTAAAAATATTTTTTAAAATTAAAATAAAAAATAAGAGATTTTAACTTTTGTTCATTAGTTAAAAAATAGGATAACTTAATAAAGAATTTTTTTATAAAGAAATAAATAACAAAAATTCAATCAGTTATTTCTTCTTTGAAATATTTAATGACTCATGTTCTTCAAATAGTGTTTTTAATATTACTTTTTGAGTTTTTGTAAGTTTAGATAAAACAATGTCAATACTAATTGTGTTAATAAATAATATTATTTATCGATAAAAGTATTAAAACAACAAACTCATTCTTTTTTAATTTTCTTAATATACTCATAGTAGCTCCTTTGATAATTCCTGATACTTCATCAATGATAATGTCTTTGTCTAAAATAATGATAGTGGCTTCAAGTAAATCGTATAACCCTTTTTTATCATCACAATTTAATACAATTTCATAAAATGCAAATGCACTTGCTGAAGAGCATGGCATTAAATTAGCAAGAAATATTGGGAGTGAAGTTCGAATGACTTTACTTAGAGAATATAATTGATTTGTAAATTTACAAATAGCTAAATAGCATTTTTCATCAATATAATCATTTTCAATGAATTTAACAATTTCTCCTGTTTTATAATATGACATAACATTTACAGCAATTGGGTCAGCAAGAAGAGGAGGAAGAGATGCATAACAGAACTAATTATTGTAGATACATATTTTGATTCAAAAGGAAGAATTAAAGTATATAATGAAATAGTATCAACGTCCAGTGGTAGAGAAGCGTTTAATACAATTGAGGGGATGAAGGATTTG